GGAACCGTTCAACTCCTTCCTTCAGAGTGCTTGGAAGCGTGTCTGCCGTCCCGACTCTGCCCAGCGACAAGGTGCCACTCTCCTCAGAGCCCTCGAAAATGGGTCCTGAACTCAGGTGGGAACCAGCAGGTGTCTCCTTAGCTCTTTCTCAGCCTCAGTCTCGCTGGCTTCAAGCTGGCTGTGTGCAGAGCGAGGCCATGAAGCTGCCCAATGCCTTTCACTGTAGCCATCCCAGCAAAGAAGTCGCCTTTGCAGCCCAGGTTTTACTCTCCTCAAAGGCTGCTCTTCCTCAACTGAAGTGGAGGAGGAAAACAAAAGAATATACGCAGGCCTTTTATCGCAACTAGGCTGGTTGTTACTTTTGAAGCGTTTATTTCATCTTCATGTTTGATTCATTTGCCACAACAGTTGCTGGCTGAAGTAAGCAGGATGATTCGGTACACGGTTTCAGTTTCCTTTACACGTTGCTTATCTCTATTATCCGATTCACAAACCTGCCCCCGTTACCTAGGCTCGAGGCAAGTATTCCTTGCAAAGTGTTTCAACATACAGATGTGTTTTCTAAAGTTCTGGAATCTGGATCAATCCACTAATGTAATGGAAGGTGAATTACGGGGCCAGCCAACAGCAGCAACATTTTGACACAGTTTCAAGAATACCTGCTTTCAAATAAAGAGCCTGAACCTGGAAACATTTGTAAACGGAATGACTACTCTTCATAGCTAATAAAATAAATGCAAGCCACTATACTTTCAGTATATTCACAGTATTTATCCTTTCAGTAGTTAAATAAAAAGAAAAAAGGATGCTAGTGGAGAGTGCTGAGAAAGAAAGCACTGAAATAGGACAGCAGTGACTGAGTGATCTTGGGAAGTGATCCACGTTTTTTTCCTGCTCTGAAGCGAGCTCAAAAGTGGGAAAGATGACAAAAGGACAGGGTGCGGGAAGAACTTTCTCAAATGCTTTATGTCCTGGTTTCCGTCCAAACCTAGTTATGATTCAGAGCATCCTTCCGCGGATGGAGGAGGACTTCAGCAAGGCTGAGTGGTCTGGCTCAAGTGGTCTGGCCTGACAGTGATTCTAAAGCAAAACTAACTCTGTAAAAAGCAGGCTATTTTACAGAAAATAGAAGTGTTATCATGAAACTTGGAAAAACCCTTGAGGAATAGTTCAGTTTGATTGCTAAAAGTGCATTAAACCAGGCAAAAGCAACAGAAGGTGCCAAGTGTCAGTACCTAAAACTTAGTCATAGATAAACTAACAGCTTTACGGAAGAAAATGCTAGGCCTGGATTTGAGAAAGAGCCAAACAGATGTTGAGGCAAGGATGTCTGCATTGTAGCTGTAGGTGGTGACATGTTATGATAAGGGAAGATCTTCGCAATGTGAAGTCGTACAGGAGCCAAGCGGTAACCGCCGGTGTTTTGCCATGTACCTTAAGTAAGTTAATGTTTAACTGACTGCCTTCAAAAGGAATCAAATCCCGCTGCTCTTTTCCCTGGCCTATCACACAGCCCCATAAAAGATATGAGTAAGTGAATTTATCACTAGCTTGGAGGAGCTAGAATCTGCCAAACCACCTATTTTAATTCATATCATGTTAGAATATCAGACCTTTAGTTTTTAGCTCTGGAGATTTCCATGCATCATGCAATTGCCCTGTAACCGCGTATTTCCCAGATTTCCTTATTGCTGCAGAACTGCGCTGAGGAATTCAGATTTTTAAAATGAATTTCTAAACAGTACAGCTGCAAAGAAACCCTTACGGTATCTGAATATAATGTGCTTGCTTCTTCAGGGGGCCTCGAATGATACCTGTACGTGTAAGCATAAGTCAGAAAAATTCATCTGAATCTGAAATGCAGATGGACTGGGGTCGATTTAATATTAACGCCATCACTTTCCGTACGAGTCTCTCGGTCTCAAAAGTGTCTGGAGGATTTCCCTTCCTTGCCAAAGCAAAACTCCAGCCCTCCTCTATCATCTTTCCTCCCCTCTTCTCGTACCGTCTTGCAAATCTTTGAAATACTGTCCCTACTAGCCTCAGTTGTGCCTTTAAAACAAAAGCGCTTCAGGGTAAAAAGTAATTGGTTCAATATTAAAATTGTTAAAAGCAGCTAGTACTGAATGCCCTATTTTTATTTCCATAGTTTCATAGTTGCATTTGTTTAATGTATCAGGGGCTGGAGCAGAGCCGGGATTTTACCGCATAATTTAGACCACAGCACAGGACTTAGTTCAGAAACCCCCATCCATCTATTTTTTTATGCAGATGTTCCTACCTGTTCAGTTCTTGGAAGGCAAAGGAAGAGTACTTTTAGATACCCAAATGTTAGAAGATTCTTTTTAAACTCTCGAAAGTGTATTAGCAAATCAGTTAATTCCGAGTTCTCAAATGAATCACAAATTGGGTGGCATTCCTTTGATATGATTAAATGAAAAGGTGACCGGAGGTCTACAGCTGGCCTCTGCAGTTTGAAGAATTAAGATGACGGGGGTATTATAAAAAATGGTACGAAAGTGAATCTGGAAAGCTGAGTAGCAAGTTATGCAGTTAGAAATGGCAGGCTTTATATTTAGTGCCCAGAGTTGTGATGACCTCTTCTTTCATTGTCTGCAGTATGCTCCGCCGTTCAAATACCAGTCTTTTGCTGCTGAAATATTTCCTGCAGGATACAAAGGACTGCAGAGAGATTGAAATGATATCCACACATGTAGCAGTAGCTCTGAAAGGTTCTCCTTAGTCTTGTGGTGTTTGTTGGGATGAAGTGCGTGGTCTATAAGAAGTGGGGGAACTTTTACTGTGTTTTCTTGTTTGCCAACAACAGGCTGTACAGGACGTTCAAGGACAGCAAGTATTTGTACATGCTGATGGAAGCCTGTCTAGGTGGAGAACTCTGGACAATTCTCAGGGACAGGTAAGTTTTAAGAAACTCTTGTGTGAAAAACGTGGAGTGTTTTCTGCTATGCCTTCAGATAACCAAAGATCTTTATCTCTCATGGGCAAAACCATGTTCGGTTCCATTTAAGATCCTAGTAAGATGGGGAAAGCATATTTTTGTTCCTATACGGTTGACTAGAGACCAAGTGAACCTAGTTATAACTGAGACTACCCCAAGGACTGATTGCAGTTGCATCCGTTATGTACAAGTCTTTACACAAGCGGAATTATATCTCAGGCTATTTTGTCATGGTCTCTCTGAAAACCCTGTCAAGGAATACCAGAAAAAGTACGGTATGGGTAGCGATGATAGCCATGTGATGAATTGCATCTGCGACTTATCTTTGACTGTCCTTTCTCTGTCTCATCAGCTCTAAGGCATGTGTTATCAGAAGCTCTCAGTAGCCTTAAATTGGTAGCTGAGTATTTTATTGGTGAAGTTTTCCAAGCGTGGAATGCAGCTGTGTCGCCAGTGCTCATGCTACAGTTCCTCATTTTGGGGAGTCTGGCTGGAGATTCAGGCACCCAGTAAGAAAATGTGGGACTTGGAAGATGCAGGCTCTGGGCACCACGGGTGAAGGCAGAGCGTGACCCTGCGTTGGTGCATGTAGTGATACTAGACAGGCAGTACCTGCGATGTGGAATCAGGTCTCCATGCATTCTTGCAAGGCGCACTGCGGAGATGCAGTCTGTCCAGGGGTGAACCTATGTGAATGTTAATGAATAGTTCACAGTTGGAGCTGAAATCCACGGAAAGGTGCATTTTCAACACAAAAAGTGCAGTGTTGTTCTAAGCCCTCTGAAGAATCAGCACATCCCGTCCCAAGCTGCATGCTCCAAATAAAGGCGTGCTTTCTTCACCTCAAACTTTATTCCTATGTTTCCCTTCTGTAACTGTGACTAGCATCATATCGCAGAGGTGTTGTGTGCTTAACCTTAATATATGTGAAGCAGTCAGGTATGATAGTGACAAAGGCCAGAGAAGATTTCAGGAGGAAATTCAGTAATTCAGAGCCTGGAAAGCATGCAGTAAACAAGGCTTGGGGCCACACACGGAGGTAGGAGACAGTCATCGTGCAGAGCCCTGTGAGAAGCACAAAGCGAGACAGAAACGCCATGGAAAAAAATAGTATGAAATCATGTAATTAAAGATTGCACCATAATGCACGGGCAACTGTGGTTCTGGTATTTCCTCTCTTCTGAGGGCTTGAGCTTTCTGGGTTTTGGTTTTCCATGTGTAGAGAGGAGGAAGAAAGAACATGGATTGTGTGAGTGCACATAGTATGTGCGCATAATACAGTTCCAGGGCAGGAAACCATGTGATAAATCACATACAGCTATAGCAAAGACTCATACGTGAAACATAACTTCATATAACTAAAAAAGAGTGAAAGAAACGCATTAGAAAGATTGATCAGCAAGCAACTATCATTTCTTTAATTATCTAGAGCAAATATTTTTGATTCATTCTTCCTTTTCCTAAAAACATGCCCTCTCTGGCCCATTAAAATTAGGGCAGTAGCAAAGTTACTGGGTGCTAGAATGTGTTGCTTTTTCTTTTTCTGTGTCAGAGCCTGATCATTTCATCTTTATTTCTCTCGCCTTTAAATCGTGGTTCTGCTGCCACCTAGCTTAGAAGCACTTTCGTCCGCCTCGCGGCAAGCAGAGCTCTGCCATTCTGCCATCAAACTCCGATCGTGAGCTGGAGGAGGGTGGTGGCATGTGGTTTTACTTCTGTAAACCATTTGCAAATAGATAATAAAATGAGGATACAAAAATGCAGTTTGTGCTGAATTTGAAATTAACCCTTCAAATCCCGGCAATTTTTTGACTTTTGTCTGTTACGAACATTAGCCTCCGAGTTCTTGGTCTCCACGATAGGTAGGGATCAAAATGTATGTCTTACACAAAAGTCAAAGGTTTGTAATAAAATTAAAAAAAAATTACTTGCAAGGTACTTATCTCTAAATTGTTACTTACGTGATGCAATTATAAAATAAAACTTAGCGTATTTTAGATGTGAATGCTTGATATGAATGTGAATTGAAGGCAAAGGTGCTAACTCCCAAAACGGAAATGCGATTCCAAAGCAAGTTTAGTAATGGGCATGAGTGATTCTACTGAATTGTACAGATACTGTAACAACAGGATGAAATCAAGTAAGGGAAGAGATTGGAATGGCCTGTTACATGGTTTTAGGCTGTTCATAAGAGGAAAAATTGTAAACATAATGATTTGGTTGGCAGCTGTCTAATTCACACGTGGCTACCTGTCGTTTCCCTAATTTTTCTTATTTATAGAGAGATCCTTTTGCCATTTTATTAAAACATAAAGTTAGCACCCACAAACACGTGCTTTCCTTATTTGTTTCCTTAAAATTTGAATTTGCTTTGGGCATCGTGTGCTGACAGCTGTCCGGCAGGAAGCTTGCTTTTAGCAGCTTGTGGATTGCTGCAGTGAAGCATATTCTTTTGACGCTACAGTGTCTGTCGTCGGAAAATTTGGCTTTATGGAAAAGCCCTTTGGAAATGTGATTGTATGCTAGGACTTGATTTAGGAAGGAGAATGTGGCAGAACAGTCCCTAGAGAAGGGAAAGAAATGCTTGACTAAGCTGTGGGTAGAATGGCTAGCACTTTGCCAAATCGAGCCCTAGCGATGTGTAGTAATGGCTCGGTCCTGTATATGCTAACCGCTTTGTCGTCTTTCCCTTTCTCCTGTTATGTAGAGGTTCATTTGAAGATTCGACGACCAGATTTTATACCGCGTGCGTGGTCGAAGCTTTTGCCTATTTGCATTCCAAAGGAATCATTTATAGGGACCTCAAGCCAGAAAACCTCATTCTGGATCATCGAGGTTATGCCAAACTGGTAAGAGCTTGTAGTATCTGCCTTCACTACAAAAAGAAAAAAAAAATCTGGCTTTCTTCTGGTGCAGGACACCTCGTATTAGGGGTAGAGGAGAACATAGTCTTAACCGTCGAGGATCAGAAACAAAGTCCACCCAGCCAAGGGTACTGTTCCTGACGGTGGCCCTTGGTAGAGGTTGAGTGAAGAGCAGGGCAAGCGCGTTGGCACGCATCATCAGGATATTTTCCTGGCCTCCAGCAGACTGTGGCTCAGGGGTATAGCTGAGTTGTAAAACACTATTTTTGGCTAAAGTTTGGCATTCAGAGCTACAATTCTGGTGGCTGGTGAAAAAAATTTGCAGAGTACTAGTATTTCTGAGTAGGTTCTGTTCCACACATTAAAAAAACAATAATTCTTAATGGAAATATTAATCATGGCATTGTGATGGCAAGACATACTATTAACTGCTTTGGATCATCAGACTGTGCTGCTGAATTGTAGCTGATACAGCTTCTTGCTTTAGTAGGGGGATTCGATTTTGATTTGTCTTAACTTTCGGTAACATTAGAACGTCTAAAGCTATAGCTTCCTGTATAAGGGGTTATATGTGTGCCTGAGTGCAGTAGTTTCAAATAAAGCCAGCATTTACTGGAGTTCACCGGAGCACCTCGCACACATGCAGTTGTGTGTAACAGTTTGCAGTATCGTATCTGAATAATGGGAGAGAAAAGTAAGTGAACATCATTTTGTCAAGAGTCTCTGTGTGCTCTTTTCACTCCGGTTTTGAATTTTTTACATTGCCTATCATGTCAGTTGTGCATAACCAAATTGTACGCACGTCATGCTTACTGCAGTCCTGGGCAAATACACTGGCAGTTGGATGCAAAACAACTCTGCAAAGCTGCATTTTCAGTTTCCTGCTCTTTATTTAATGAACGTAATAGCACTTGCACATTTTAACTGCCTTCTCTTAAGAGCCTTCTACCAAGGCTGTTAAAAACGTAGCTGCCATTAGGCAGGTGCCTCTGAACACTGGAGCCTCAAGGACATCCATTCCCAAACACGTGCACCGCAAGGAAGAGATTGCAGCAGATTTTTCTCAGATTTAACAGCCCACTGAGTCCTTGCCTAGGGCAGGTTTAGCATCCTGCATAGGCGCTCACGGGAAGAACGGGCTACTGGGCAGCGTTACCTTTGACGGTAAAAGCCCGTTGTGTATTAGCATTGTGAACGCACCTAACCGATCTGTGGAAACTCCTGTGAGATGACTGCCTAAGGCTCTGGCTAAACTGGTCTTCTCAGAAGGTCGTGGTGCTTCTCGGTAGCACCCAGTAGCAACCGGACTCGGTTGTCCTCCTGTAGCACCCACTTCTTCAAACCCGGACAGCAGAGTCTGTGTAAGACCTTCACTCCCACAAATGCCAGGTGGCTTTGATAGAGGGCCAAGTATCCTGGCTCAACTCCTATTCCCTGAATATTATGAACTCAAAATGTTGACATTACTGCAGAGCGACCGACCTGTGGCCTTCTCCTGCTGCGTGTCTACATGAAGGACAAGGTAGTTGGAGATCAAGCAGGATAACATACGTATCTGTACTCTACTGTAAGAGCTTAGAAAGTGGTGGTGAGGCTTTTGCACCGCTCACTGGCTGCTCCTTGGTGACTGCTATGTCCGGGCTCATATTGCCACAGGGCACCTGGCCACCCTCTGGTGATGTGTTGCATCTTAATATTGCATCAGAAGGCTTGTTGAGGGTTCTTAAGGAAAGCCACAGCAAAAATGTTCATGCTGAGAGTGTTTCCATGGGTTTGACTTTACTGGGCTATTCACTCATACTGTTCTGCTGTGTCAAGAATCAACACAGAGGTGCGCTGCACATAAGGCACACGCCAAATGTCTGGAGATTGCAAAAATCTCCCAGAACCCGTGGAGAAAGGGAGAAGAAAGGAGGACTTCTCTTGGTGGGAGGTGCTGTCTCGCCCCTCTTTGGGAATCACCCTTATTAACTGGTGACGATGTGAGCGCTTGGGAAGCCGTTTCTACATCAGTGAAGGATGGGGCAATACAACCCTAAAAAGAGGGCTGTCTCCAAGACGGGCTGATGGTCTTCTGCATTCCCCCTGCCCTAAGAGTGACCAAGAGCCAACATCTCTGTCTCTTGGATGAGGGACTTTTCCCTGTCTTTGGGAAGAGAGACTCAGGAGGAGCAACAGCAGTCAGGAGCAGTCGGTCAGACCGTTCTGGTGTGGTGCCACTTCACTGTGTGCATGCAACCAGTGAGCACCTTTAGAGGCCTTTTTAGCCAGGTGGCAAAGTGGTGTACTGCCGAATGTCACTGGTCAGAATTTATCTTCCGCAGCATTTCTCTAAGGCTGGTGGGGTCCAGCAAGGTGTTAGATGAGAAAGGTGGACCGGTTGCAGGGCTGTCCTCACTCAAACCCCCAAGGTGGGGGCGGGGGGGGGGGGTCTAAACTGGAGTCTCCTCCTGTCCCGTCATCAACCTCCGGCTCCTGAGATGTTCTGATCTCCCTGGCAGGTTAGAACTCGTCCACGAGGACTGTACGGTGTGGCACAAGTGTCACAGATACCACAGCATGATAGACCCTAATCATCTGGGGACTGTGTGCATTTAGGATTGCCGTACTCATGTTTTGCCCATCCCTAATGCAGGAAGGTGCAGGCCTATTTCACAGCCATCAAGGGACAGCAGAGTGTGCTACAGACCACAGCTATGGGCAAGCGCAGCGCTGAGGACAGGGCAGGGCAGAGCAGTTGATGGGCAAGTGGGTAGAGCTAAAAATAAGGCAAGCCTATTAAACTGAGGTCTTCTTGGGACCCAGGGATTCTTTTGGTTCCCAATATAATCTAATCTTCCATGATTGCCTGTAGCACAGTCCGGTGCGCCACAGGGGCACGCTGAGCTTTGTGAGCCAGCCAGCGCGTTGCAGCAGCCTCATGTTCAAGTATATTGGGAGGACTCTTGTTTTACTGCGTCACTCTTTATACTGGAAGTGAAATTTGAACTTTGCAGTGGATGCGTCCATGGTCAGTATTTAGCATGGACAGCCTATGAGCAGCTAGGTAAGCTCGCGCATGTATTTTCCGGGGTTAAACGTGAAGAAAATGTACTCACCCGCTGCTTGCACTGCCTAAAGCTGTCGTTGGGGGAGCTGAGCTGAGTTCCAGCAAGAGGAGGAGAATCAGTGTGAGCTGCACATGCTGACGGACCCTGATCTTTTGTTTTGAAGTCAGTATGCTAAGGAGAATAGTTCATTGCTCAGGTAAAGAAAGGCTGGGAGTTAGAAAAGAAAAAAAAAATCAGAACAACCTGAGCTGCGAGTGATACAAAGTTCCCTCTATCAAGACATGTTCAGAGCGTTGGCGTTTTTTCTCCTTTCCTCAAGAGAATTTTCATTCTGTATCACGAAAGGTAAATCGGTAGAAAAGGTCACTGCAGTGGTCTGCTTCCTGAACACCCCACAATGCTTTAGTTAGGATAATATTCCCACGAGGAAATCTTATTTCTGCTTTGCTTTGCTTTAAGAAAAACAGAGCCCATGGCTGAAATTCCCTTTATTTCTGTGCCTTGATGGAATCCTGTTCCTTTCATAGGTTGATTTTGGCTTTGCAAAGAAAATAGGATTTGGAAAGAAAACATGGACTTTTTGTGGAACTCCAGAGTACGTAGCCCCAGAGATCATCCTGAACAAAGGTCACGACATTTCAGCAGACTACTGGTCACTGGGAATCTTAATGTATGAACTCTTGACTGGCAGGTATGGGCATTGGAGCTGGCGCTGCTGATAAAAATAGAGCAGAATATTTCTGCCATTGTCACTCTGATTAGAAGACTGGAAGATTCAGAGTGGGTGCGTGCTGTAGTGACGCAGGGAAGCCTGAACACTGTACTGTTGAACTGAATACATATTTCTATGGCTATATGTTTTTTAGCCTTTTTAACCACAGCTTCCATACAGATCTCTCACATCTCTCGTGGCTAGGCTTTTTAGGAAATGCAGTAAAACGACCCCAAAACTCCACCCTCATTTTTGGCTCCTGTAGCTACCACTGAGCTGAACATGGTGGGGAAAGGGTTTGCAGTTCAAGCAGGGTGGTGCGAGGACAGTGGGGTCTTGCACGTCTGAAGGAGAGGTGGTAGGTCTGACACGGTGGAGTCTTGAGTCGCTATTATCCATCCCTTCTATTATTTAGTTTAGACACAAAGGTTGCCGCCTTCAACGCTCTTCTTGCCTATGTTTCTTAAGTGCTTACTCAGTTCTCTCGTATATCAGGCACACACATGACAGCGTAGCCCAAAGCAAGCAAACTCTACTCTCCGTGTTCAGGAGCTGTTTATTTATATGCTGCTGTTTTTCACTCAGTTTGTCTCTCTCCTTTTAAACCAAGGGAAACCTAATTAGTCCCCAGTGAAAACGTGTCACAGCATCAAAGAAAAAATAAGCGAGGGAGCAGAGCTCAGGCCCTTATTCCGCAGGCCGGCAGGACCTGGGGCATTGTGGAAACAAGACTTTTAGCCTGTGCTGCCTTGGACTTTGCTCTTTGATGCTTCCTTTTGAGCAACTGGAAAAATATGACTTGGATCTAGGGAGTGTCGGAGCTCCTGGGCCAAAACAATGGTTAAAGTCATAGGAGGCAGCACATGACTAGTTCTCATCTACCTCTTCTCATTTCTCACACAATAGGGAACTGTGTTTTGGTTTGATTTGTTTTTTATAGCAGTCTTCAATGCTGCTTTAAAGACGAGCTTTTAATCTTTTTCTTTCTCTCTCCTCTGAAGTCCGCCTTTCTCAGGCCCAGACCCCATGAAGACCTATAATATCATATTAAGGGGAATTGACATGATTGAATTTCCAAAGAAGATTGCCAAAAATGCTGCTAATTTAATTAAAAAACTATGCAGGTAAATGCATGAGATGTAATCAGCTTTGTCTTAGGCACAGAGAAATGAGTCCCTCAGAATGATTTAAAAAGTAACCAATTTTGTTATTCCTTTTATAGGGACAATCCATCAGAAAGATTAGGGAACTTGAAAAATGGAGTAAAAGATATCCAAAAGCACAAGTAAGTGTCTTTGCCAACCATCCATCATTTTAACCCACAGAAACATTCATTTCCAGCCCTTTAATTTTCTGTGAAAATCAGTTTTCTTAAATTCCTTTGGCTTACCCCTTCTTTTGTGATTTAGACTTTAAATGAATTTGCATCAGATTTCCCCCCTGCCCCCCCCCCAGTATTTTGGTATATATTCTAGCCTTGCCTGTGAGCAAAATGTATTGCATTTTGAGTAAGACCTTTCCACTTGAATTACTGTAATTCAGAAGATCGTTTGGAAGCAGTCCAACTCGGCCGCTGCCTGTTTGCACTTTTTCTGGTTTGCAGAATCACTTTCCAAGGTTTCCTTCCGTTTCCCTGCCCCTAAAACAAACTTTCTTTCTACCCATAATGTTAGTCCATCGTCCCGTTTGGTCTGATGGCACAGAGTTCTTAAGTGACTTTTTATAAGCTCTGTTTTTTGCAGGACTTGATTCAAAATAGCAGCTTTCACGTTGCCTGAGAGTAATAAGAATGAGTTCAGGGCACATCCCGGTGGGAGCAGGTTATCTCATCTCTGAGATGCTGGGCCTTCTCTGCTCCCGTCCCCAAAGCAATGCCCATGTGCTGGATGGACATTGGAGGGTGGATGGGTTGAAGCCCCCACTCACGGCTCACTCACCTGCCTGAGCTGCCAAAGACTGAGCACATCCAAGGCACCTAGCCTGAGAAGGGAATGTCCCTGTGAAGGTCCTTAGCTCAAAATTTCATATGAAGATGGTATATAAAGGGGTCTCATTTGAGAGGGATCAACCCTATAAGAAGCAAACAGCAGCTGCCAGGACACTTGCAGTGAGGAACGGTGTTCTTCTGAGCATGTGTAATTTATACGGGCCGTTAATGTCACCGTTGGGTTGCTCCACACGCTTCATCTTCAGCTGGAAAAAAGCATATGTAAAGATATATAAAGCATATACAAAGATGACATGAAGAAAGGAAACATATATAAGCATATATATAAGCATGTGTAAAGATGACATAAAGAGAGGAAACATTATTAATGCTAATTAGACAATATGAAGAACGTAACTGCAGGAGTTAAAACCTACTGCTTAAGCAATTTAAATTTCATTATGTGCTACAATTATATTTTAGTCATGTGTCTAACTTCCTGATCTGTTTTCTTATTCTCACCCTTCTAGATGGTTTGAAGGCTTTAACTGGGAAGGGTTGCGAAAAGGAACACTGACACCTCCTATAATACCCAGTGTAAGTTTACTACTTACTTTCTCTTTCCCCAGCAGTAAGTGTCTTTAACGTGAATTTTGTGACGTTCCAGCATGAATACGCTGTAGTTAAGTGGACACAAGCATGTCCTGTATTTCTTTTGAAGATGCCTGTCAAAGAAAAAAAAAGCTAAAGCCCAGTGACCGAGTCAGTTTAGAGACATTTTCATGTGTACTTTGTCTCCTGGCAGTCTCTTCAAGGGGAAAGAGGTTTGGGGGCATGACTGTGATGAAATGCTCTTCCCAGCAGGAGAAGTGGGAAAGGATCTCCCACTACTACTTATTCTTTGCTTTTTCACCTGCTCCGCTTGTTTCTTCCTCTGCTTTTCACATGTCAGCAGAGAGCTGCTACTTTCACCCCTTTTCTCTGATATGTCCTCTTTTCTTTCTCCTAGTTCTTCTTTCTTTGGTGGGGCAAGTGGGATTTGTATGCCACCTCCCTTTTCCTTTTTCACTAACCTTTCCTTCTGTCTTTTTCTTTTGTGCTTTTTACCCTTTTCTCCTGCATCCGTGTCCTACGTGAAAAGCTCTGTTACCGACTAGTTTATGTTTAACTGAGAGCAGACTCCGAGGGACAGCACTACTCATTTTCCTTTGCAGCAAAGCTCTTCCTTTGATGTCTTTGTGAGCTCTTCACCCATAGAGCCCGCTGCAAAGGGAAACCAAACAGGATTAGCTGATAGAAATTACCTTGGCCCCTTCTGTTCTGCAGCCTCCCCTCCTTGTTTCAACTTAATCCCTTTCCCTTCATGCCTCTCCTGCGGGTTCACCAGGAGAACAACATTTGCAATCGCATTTCATTGTGCCCCTTTGCTCAGTCCTCCCATGGTCCTGTACCTCCTGCAGCAGTAGCATGCAGGGCTCCAGAGATAAATCCTCCGGCACCGAGTTTTCTTCGCAGCTACGAAAGAGCAAGAAGGTTTTGGGTCTCCTTCTCTGCCTATGGGAAGCAGAAACTTACTGTCAGCCAGCAGGTAAAATCAGGACTCTGTGAATGTGTGCCCCATGCAGGAAGCCCAGACAGCTTAAAAACATTTTATAAATTGAAATGGTATTTTATCTGTTAAGCTTATTTGTAATAGCTATTAATTTGTTGTCCGTGCTGTTCATCACATTTCAAGTCGGATAGTGAAATCAAGTTTACTCCTTTACCTCCGGTTTCAATTCCTGGTTTACCTGTGCTATGTGCAGGATGTCCGTGTAGCCTGAAAATGTCCAAATACGTTTTCCGTACTGTTCTTAGTGGTTTTTTAGTTTAGTAAGAGCATATCCCAATATTTTTACCCAATAGACATATCGAGTCAAGTTTGATCTGAGTTCTGTTATAGTTGCTGGTGGATGATAGCTGTGGTTGTCCTTCAGCCAAGTAGTCACCTCCTGAAGGTTGCTGCTGCGCCAGGTTTTCCTGCACCTTAAACCCATGCATTCTCCTTTGTGTGCTCGTCTATGCGTCCACGCACAATGTGGATATTGAAACATTAGCCCTGTTGGTCTGCTGTGAAGGATTACGTAAGGGATTAAGTACAGTAGCCCCGCAGTTCCCCCCAGTTGTGAGATTCAACCCTGCTGAGCATTCACGCCAGCTGCGCCATGTTCCGACTCTTATTTTTGCATGATCAGCAGTATCTTCAGAATTCCTG